AGCAGGAATTGACACTTCAGAGTCGGACGGTAGCTTAACAAATTCTGTTGGAATGCGGCTTCCAATAATGGAGTTTTTGGTTCTGAATAATATACTCCCTCCAAATAAGATATATAAAGAATGTTTTGCTTCTATGACCACCTATAACGAAATGTATGGAATTTCCCCCCTCTTATTTTTATTTTGTTCTGATGTTTAAATTTGTAATCCATTAAGTGGGTGCCCTTTAAAGCATAATGGCACTGTTGAGCATGAATTCTTTAGAATATTTGAGTTGGTTAACTATGTAGAAGAACTGTATATTAAGCTGTCTATTTTTTTAAAAAAAATAAAAACTAATTATTTTTTAAAAAAGAGCTCAGAAGCTAAGCAGGGTCAACCTTGGTTAGTACTTGGATGGGAGACCACCAAGGAAGCCCAGGGTTGCTACGCAGAGGCAGGCCATGGCAAACTGCCTCTGTTCGCCTCTTGCCTTGAAAACCCCATGAGGGATCACCATAAATCTGTTGCAATCTGACCGTACTTTATTTATATTCCGTTTTTTCTCCCTACAGTTGGGACTCAGAGCAGCTTAAGATATTGTTCTCCCTCCTCCATTTTCTCACAACAACCACCCTGTGAGGTAGGCCAGTCTGAGAGTTTGTGACAGGCCCAAGGTCATAAGAACATAAGAGAAGCCAGTGCTGGATCAGGCCAATGGCCCATCCAGTCCAACACTCTGTGTCACACAGTGGCCAGAAATACCAGGTGCCATCAGGAGGTCCAGCAGTGGGGCCAGGACATTAGAAGCCCTCCCACTGTTGACGCCCCCAAGCACCAAGAATACAGAGCATCACTTGCCCCAGAGTTCCTCTCTATGCCTTGTGGCTAATTGCCACTGATGGACCTCTGCTCCATATGCTTATCTAATTCCCTCTTGAAGCCTTCCATGCTTGTAGCTGCCACCACCTCCCGTGGCCGTGAATTCCATGCGTTAATCACTTTTTGGGTGAAGAAGTACTTCCTTTTACCCAGGGCTATTTTTGGGCAGGAACGCACAGGAATGGAGTTCAGGCTGGCTTCAGAGTTGGCCACACCCACTAAAGCCAGCACCTCTGTGTGCGTGCCTACAGAGGGAAGGTCTGGAGAGTGACCCCCCGGCGACTCCGAGGTAGACGGGGCAGGGTGGGTCTGGAAGGATTGGGGAGGCATTTAAATGCCTCCTTGTGTCTTCCCCGGCCTGTCCAAGGTCTGGCTTGCCCGGGTTCCCTGCAGTCGTGGGGTGCCCGGGCAAGCCAAGGGAAGGCACGGGGTGTGGCCTAATATGCTGTGAGTTTCTGCTGTCGGGTGTGGCCTGTTATGCTAATGAGTTCCTACTGGGCTTTTTCTACAAAAAAAGCCCTGCTTTTACCCATTCTAACCCGAGTGCTCAGCTGATGGTAGAAGTGGAGATCCGAAACCAGGTCACCCAGGCTCCTAGTCCAGCACTGTGTCCACTATACCCACACTGTCTCTCAGTAAAGGAGAATGTGACTCATCTCCCAAAGGCAATGAGGCTTAGTTTCTTTGCAGAACTTAAGTCCCAGAGAAGAGTCTGAAGCCTCATGCGCAATAACCTTGCTGATGTTAAGCAGGTCTGTGTATGGCCGGTGCCGGGATGGACAACTTCCTGGCGACCCTCAAATTCCAGGCTGGGGAAAAAGGGTTATGAAACCTATAAAACCCAGCCAGGGCTTCTGCGGCCTTGAATGAGGCTTTCCTTAGCGAGAGACATTTCTGTGTCCAGAATCACTCCACAGCATCCTTCATGGTCATCGGTGTCACTCATGGGCTCTGCTGCACCCTCTCATGCGTCTCCTCTCATGCCTTTCCCGTCGCATTTCCCTAGAAATATTTAAAACAGCAGTAATTAAAATGGACTGAGTATGTAAGGAATATTTCAAATAGATTTTAAAATATCCTGTCAGAATGATTCATGGAATTTTGCTTGAGTTTTTTTACATGTGCTAAATTGCAAGAGAGTGAAGTTTTGCTCTGATTCACAAAATGCAACAGCTGTGCGAGATGGAAGATTCTTTCGCTCCCCCCACCCCCCCACCCCCCGGTATTCTGTGTGCCATTTTATATGCCTGGTTCATAGTTCCAGGTGGTCAGCCATGTTGGTCTGAAACAGTAGAACAAATTTAGAGTCCAGTGGCACCTCCCCCCCCGCCGATTAATGTTTTATTGAATTTTTATGAATAGTACATAGTCAAGCAGTAAGAAAATATTGAACAGATACTATCAGTTGTATAAACAAGGAGGTAGTTCTGAAAGAAGTAAGAGGTTATGAAGAAGCATTTCAATGTACAGACATTAATTTGCAAAAGATAATTTGCAAAAGACTAGACTCCCAGCTTTGGCTGGGAGGGCGGGGTAGAAATTTGAAGAATAAATAAATAAATAAAGTTTGGAATGTTTTGTTGACACACCACCGCACCCACCTCAAAAAAGAAAGGGGAAAAGGCTGTTACCTCCATGCCTGAGAGGAGACGAACGGAGAGTCTCAGTTTACTTCCCACAATTAGAAAACATACCTTTACACATTTATCCCCTATTTTGACATATTTATTGCTTTCCTTTCCTCCCTTAATTAAATCCAGAACAGCTGTTGACCTTATAATCTTAGCTTCTTATTTGGTTTTGTCTTCACTTATCTTAAAACATCTTTATCATGTTACATGTTAATTGTTCAGCCGCTGTCCATAAGTTTGAACTCCACCTTCCACTCCAGTGTATTTGAGAACGTGTGCTTTGCACACGAGAGCTCATACCTTGAATAAACATTTGTTGGTCTTAAAGGTGCCACTCGACTCTAAATTTGGGAAAGGCCGTGGTCATTAGGAATGGGTAGTTTGCTGTGTGCAAATATTAGAAGCTGAATGCCTTGTCTCTTCATGGGGTGGCAGCTTAAGAAATTTCCCTTTCAGCTCAGCTGGGTGGAATTCATTTTGTGTGTGTATTTTCTTTCTTCTTCCAGGTGGCTAGATTCATCCCGATCGCTTATGGAACAAAGGATCCAGGAGGAAGATCAGCTGTTGTTACGCTTCAAATACTACACCTTCTTCGATTTGAATGCAAAAGTAAGAAACTCACAGACTTCCTTCCATAGTTTGTCATAATTTTTAGCATGTCAGGTAAAAAGCAAAGTTCAGGGCTTGCCTAAAAGGTAAAGGTTCCCTTGCTCGAAAGCCAGTCGAGTCCGATTCTAGGCTCATCTCCGTTTCAAAGCCGAAGAGCCAGCACTGTCCGAAGACGTTTCCGTGGTCATGTGGCCGGCATGACTAAACACCAAGGCGCACAGAACGCTGTTACCTTCCCACCGAAGTGGTACCTATTTATCTACTTGCAATTTCTTGCTTTTGAACTGCTAGGTTGGCAGGAGCTGGAACTAGAGACGGGAGCTCACTCCGTCATGCTGTACACGGGTCTCGAACTGCTGAACTACTGACATTCCACAGCCTGAAGTTCAGCGTCTTAACCACTTGAGCCACTGCAGCATATTTTATCTAAATCTTGGTAATCCACTGCTCGTAGTTATCCAGGTGTGTTTTGTACTTTCCGTATATTACCATACCGTCCCAATTTTGTTTACATATGTTAAGTAAAATAAAGTAATCCAATTACAAAGGAGGAGCCATCTCACCTTGCCAGGTTTGCCTAAGGCAGAATATACAAACATTCAGATTAAAGAAAGTACAACTATAGTGTTGAATCCAATCAGCTCTCTCAACTCTGTTTCACTCGGTTCTCCCCTGTGCCATATGGCTTTTGTACATGCAGGAACCATGTTCTTCGGTAGAATCATTTTGGGTGCTCAGAGGGGGACCGATCCTTCCTTTTTCTCCTGCAGGAAAGCTGGTTGGATCCAACCAGTGGCCTCCAACGTTGGATCACGAAACACGAGGGGGGAAACGTTGCATTTCCCCTGAAAATTCATTTTGGGTCTCCTTTCTCAGTTTCATAACTTTGTTTCATGATCCTAGGGAAATCCATTTCTTGTTCCTTTGCAGGCAATGGTGTTATAGCTCTTCCAATAGTTTGCTTTCAGTTATAGAGCACTTCTAAGCCCTGACCTGGCTATAGTCTGATCTCATCAGATCTCAGAAGCAAAGCAGGGTTGGCCCTGGATAGTCCTTGGATGGGAGACCACCCAGGAAGCCCAGGGTTGGTACGCAGAGGCAGGCCATGGCAAACCACCTCTGAACATCCCTTGCCTTGAAAACTCTACTGGGGTCAGCTGTGACTTCATAGCACTTCACACACAAACACACACACAGCACTTCTTGCAAGTTCTACCTAATACTAAATGTATGCATCATAGGCCCCGGGGACACGGGCCGGATATCGCAGGGGGGAGGCGTGGCTAATTGCCCCGGCGCAGTTTGATCCGCGATTATGCAATCAGACGCGCCGGCGGCACAGCACGGGTCCTTCCCTCGGTGCCAGCAGGCAAATGAGGGACCGGAGGGGAATGCCGCACGCCGGCGCGATCACACCACGGGCGTCTGGAGGCAGCCCGTGGCAAACGTTTACTAGTACCTTGGAGGTACTATTTTTTAAATGCGCATTGTCGGCGGTAAGCCACGGGTGCGCTCCACTTCCCAGATGTTGGGGTGTGATCGCGCTCGGATAATCCGCCCACCTTCCGTGCCTCTCCCGTGGCAACTTTGCCGTGTGACTGGGGCCATAGTAATATTACTGACAGTGCAATCCTAAGCAGAGCTCTACCCTACTAATCCCATTGACTTCGAATGGACTTTGAAGGCTGAAACTTTTAGTATTGCATTGCTAAAGATATACGGTTAATCTCACACATGTATGCTATAGTATATAACCTTGAACAGAGAGGCAAGAAACTGAACCCAGTCCCTTTCCGAAAGTATCTTTCTGCCATGTATGGACAGTATTCTGTTTCTCCCAAATTTACTTTTATCATTCCTATCAGTCGTTCCTATCAGTCAGTGCCAGACTTTTGACTTCCATTTCAGGCAAAAAAGATTAACCCTGATTGAAATGTTATGGAGCAATTTCAAGTAGGTCAACATGTCAGAGATGTGATTCCCACAACTCTTTTATGGTTGGCCATTAAGGAAGCTGTTTGCAGATTAAATGGGAGAAATGGAAGTCAAAGAACAAAAAAAATGTGGGTTTTCTATGGGTTTTCTACTAAGAAGACTGGGAACTGATAACCTGAAGCAGCAGTCTGAGTGCCGATCTTTATGCAGATACACAGTAAAAACTCTGCCCCTGTAACTCCTGCCCTAACGTGTCCCCAGGTTTCCAAATCAGATTGTTAAAATTCTTCATTGCATTGCACTTGGAATCAATCTTAGGAAGGGAGTCATAGTTTCTCCTACCAATATATTCTTTAATCTTTGGCAACAGTGCTTGAAGTTCAGCTTCACTGTCCGTGATTGCTATAATTATGCCTTATGTGAGCTGCATTGTTGTAAGTCACAATCAGACTAGAAGAAGGAGGAGAGATTGGATTTATACCCCGCCCTTCACTACCCGAAGGAGTCTCAGAGCAGCTTCCCCTCCCCACAACAGACACCCTGTGAGGTAGGCGGGGCTGAGAGAGCTCTCTCGAGTACTGCTCATGAGAGAACAGCTCCGAAAGAACTTCTAACTGACCCAAAGTCACCCCAGCTGCTGCATGCTCCTAACCACTGCACCAAACTGGCTCCATATGATATGGGATATTTTTCATTATATCTCCTTTTGTCTCCCCTCCCCTGCACAGTTACTGAGGGGTCCTTAGAGCAGTGATGCTGGGGGTGAGGGGGACTTAAACCTTTCTCACAGCATTATTTCCTTAATTTAATCTCCCCACAGGCACACACACATACACACACTCAACAGCTGCTATTATTATGGGTGCCTGTATTTTTCCATTGCAAAGGTTAATACAGCTATGGGAAGCAAGCAGTTTAAATCAGTAAACTGGTACAGGGTGAGGGATTGAAGCCTTCTCTTCTCATAATTTAATCCGCCACACATATACACATCAGTGTTCCCTCTAAACTGAGTTAGTGTGCTCTAGCTCAGTGTTTTTTAGCCTCCAGCTCACACATTTTTGTCTTAGCTCAGGAAGGGAGGGCTCCAGAGCCAACTAATTTATGCAGTAGCCAAATCGCTCGCTCACAACTTTAATGCCAGTAGCTCACAGAGTAGAGTTTTTGCTCACAAGTCTCCACAGCTTAGAGGGAGCATTGATACACACGTACAGCTCCTATTAATCCTGGGACAGAAAAAAAGAAAGGTATAAAATGTATACCTGCCTTTTTCCATTGCAAAGGTTAATACAGGTATGGGAAGAGAGCAGTTTACGTCAGTGACCTGGCATGGGCACACCACTGTGTGCACAGGAGCTAGTCGTATCTCCACTCATGCATGAACTGAGTGTTACCCATAACCCTCTGGGGTTATGAGAGCATAATAGGGACACTCAGCTCATCATGTGCTTGGAGCCACGGGCTACTAGCTGCCCAGACCTGTGGCACAGCTGTGGCTCAGAAGCCATGCATGGCTTTCATGGAGTTCAGGGATGTGAGTAGAAACACAGAAGTTATGATTTTCGTATATGTTTGGGGGTAAAATAGGATATGATTGGCAGAGCGTACAGCCCTAGACACACTTTTACTAGGGAGCAAGCCTCATGGACCTCAGGCGGGACTTACTTCTGAGTGAACATGTGGAGGCTTGCATTGTCGCTGCAGCTATTTCGGAATACAGCAGCAGCCCAATTATTGTCAGGGGGTAGCTGATAGAAACGCATCATGCCCATTTCAAAATGGCTCAGAAACAAGCAAGTTCAATTGAAGGGGCTGGTTATGAAACTTAAAGCCCTTCATGGCCAGTTTGGTGTAGTGGTTAAGTGCGCAGACTCTAACCTGGGAGAACCAGGTTTGATCCCCCACTCGTCCACTTGCACCTGCTGGATGACCTTGGGCAAGCCATAGTTCTGGCACAGCTGTTCTTGAAAAAAGAGCAGTTTCTGTCAGAGCTCTCTCAGCCCCACCTACCTCACAGGGTGTCTGTTGTGGGGAAGGGAAAGGAGTTTGTAAACCACTCTGAGACTCCTTTGGGTAGTGAAGGGTGGGGTATAAATCCAATCTCCTCCTCCTCCTCTTCCTCTTCTTCTTCCTCTTCCTCTTCTTCTTCCTCTTCTTCCTCTTCTTCCTCTTCTTCCTCTTCTTCCTCTTCTGCCTCTTCTTCCTCTTCCTCTTCCTCTTCTTCTTCTTCTTCCTCCCCCCCTGTGTGCACCAGTCCTGGTAGCCCACCTGGAATCTAGTAAAACCACCTGGTATCCTTTCAATAGCAGCTCCTGCTTTGTGGAACAGGCTCCCTGAGGAGGTGAGGATGGGTTATCCCTAGAAGCTTTTCAGAGGCACTGTAAGGCTGTTTTATTTTCTAGGGCGTTTAATTGTGTTTGAGCTGCAAGCATCTCCTTGTGGGAGGGGTTAGGGTTTTGTTTTATTAAGGATTACGGCAGTACAGAATCACAAGATGCCTGAGCCACGAGGGGAGAAAAGCTGGGTATAATTTTTGTAATATATGTGGCATTAGTGCTATGTCACAAACAACTCCTGTGATCTTGGCTGGTGCGTGCAACAAAGACCTTAATCTGTAACTGACAGTGAATAATCAGTTGAAATCACCCATTACCTTCAGAGCAGGCATATAGGCCTGCCAACTTCCTGGTGATATGGAAAAGTATATGACACTGTGTGTAATAGGTGTATGCTTAAGATAGACCTATTTTGTGCTTTTCGTTTTCATTTTTCTATACTGTTATATAAATATTGGTGTCAAGTATTACCAAACATAGGTTTCACCCAAACAATACATCAAAAGTGCAGGTTTAGGCTGTGTTCGAACATTCAAACAGCACCTTGTCAGTTTCATAATCACTAGTCCCAGGGGACTCTAGTAATTTACCTGTATCGAATGCAATCTTTTTCAAGGACCGTGATGTACGTACAGGACATATGAGGCGCAATAAATTCTCTTTGTATAAAACTCTTAAAATAGCAGCATATTTTCTAGGGACCCATCGGAACCTTTGTGGTAAACATACTAACCTATCTAGGAGAACATATCTCTCAAGTTCTGTTTCCCAACCCGGAGCTGGCAACCTTGCCTTATTGCATAGAATCAGACTTCCATTCCCATGCGATGCTACTGTCTCCTTCCCAGCTCAGGATCCAAACATAGGTTTCACCCAAACAATACACAAACAATACACACACCAAACAATACACACACGGAATTCACTGCCACAGGAGGTGGTGGCGGCTACAAGCATGGACGGCTTCAAAAGGGAATTAGATAAGCATCTGGAGCAGAGATCCATCCGTGGCTCACAAGGTATAGATAGGGACTCTGTGGCAAGTGATGCTCTGTCATCTTGGTGCTTGGGGGGGCCAACAGTGGGAGGGCTCCTAATGTCCTGGCCCCACTGGTGGACCTCCTGATGGCAATTGGTATTTCTGGCCACTGTGTGATACAGAGTGTTGGACTGGATGGGCCTTTCGCCTGATCCAACATTGGTATCTCGTATGTTCTTATGTAAAAGTACAGGTTTAGGCTGTGTTCAAACATTCAAACAGCACCTGGTCAGTTTCACAATCACTAGTCCCAGGGGGCTCTGGTAATTTACCTGCATCGAATGCAATCTTTTTCAAGGACCGTGATGTACGTACAGGACATATGAGGTGCAATAAATTCTCTTTGTGAGTATAAAACTCTTAAAATAGCAGCATGTTTTCTAGGGACCCATCGGAACCCTTGTGGTAAACATACTAACCTATCTAGGAGAACATATCTCTCAAGTTCTGTTTCCCAACCCGGAGCTGGCAACCATGCCTTATTGCATAGAATCACACTTCTATTCCCATGTGATGCTACTGTCTCCTTCCCAGCTCAGGAGGCAGAAAGCAGGACCCCGGGGGCATGTTTACTAAGACACAGTTAGCTCAATGGTGCTCACACCCTAATGCAAATGCACAGGATTGCCTAAGAGATAGAAATATTTGACGGGCGTGACAGAAGGGAGGGGTGGGTGAGGAGTGGGCGTCTTTACACAAAACACTGGAGTGCAAAGCCGTAACTTGGTGGCCTGCTTGTTTGAAATGTTGACCTCCACCGGCTTAGGACTCGTCATCTCTAAGGGCTGCACTTTTTTTGCCAGTACGACGCGATTCGGATCAACCAGCTGTACGAACAGGCCCGATGGGCTATTCTGCTGGAAGAAATTGACTGCACGGAGGAAGAGACCTTCATCTTCGCTGCATTGCAGGTATGGACTTGAGCATTAAGTTGCCAAACCAGTTGTTCTGTCAGGGCAGGCGCCAGCCAAGACAGGAGCATGATGAAGGAAGCCTGTATTGACGGTTCCGTGTAAGCCCTGCACACACACACACACGCACACACACACTGCTTTCAATAGCGATTTGCTGGTTTGCTATTGCAAACTCAGTTTATACCCATGTAAATTATTAACAGATGCCTCAGTCCTGTATGGCATTTGGAGGTTAAACTTTTGTAAAGCTGCTGTAACCATGCTGAAACTGAACTGCACAATATTCCTGGAGCAGGGAGAGTTGTGCACTCTTCCGTTTCCGAGCCTTCTGCAGTTAAGAACATAAGAGACGCCAAGATTCACTTCCTTTGGAGGAGAGACTCCTGGAGACTTACAGGGACAACTTTGCAGTGTCCGTCTTATTTTCAAGCTGTGCAAATGGATGCAAGGAGGCACCTTTCCAGATGGCAGCAGATCTCTGACCCCTGCATGTGATCCTTAGACAGCCACGTGTGCATCCCTCACCCCTACTGAACCCCCCCAGTTTTCCAATGACTGCAGCTAGCAGCTCTCTGGTTCCGGTCTATCTGCCCTTGTCTGACTCCGGCCCCGAGGTGAATTGCCCATTCAGGAAATATTCCACAGCTGTCAAAGGAACATTCTTTGCTAGTCAAAATCATAGCGGTAGATACAGCAGCAGTATTCGGATCAACAAGTACAGTACACTCTTAGGGCTCTGACAGAAGAGACAAAGACCACCTTTCTTGTCCCATCCATAAAATGCAAACTGCGTGCTTTTGCAGCCTCAGTTTGCCTCTGGACCTGCAGGAAAGGGTGAAGGGGTTTAACCCTTCAGCCTAAACTCAGTTTTGCAATGGAGGGGTTCCCCTGCAATGCAAAACTGAGCTCTCTGCTTTGCTTTACAATTTAAAGGGAAAAGAAACCCATTTTTCTCTGCTTGATTGTTGCCCAAAACATCCAGCTGAATATCCTCCCTTTCCCAAAATTGATCACCAACGCGCAATGTGTAGGGTTCCCAGGTCCCAACGGGGGTTCCCCTGCTTTTCAGGGCTGGCCGGCGGTGGAAGCTCCACTCCAGAACAGGGTGAAAAGGACTGGGTTCGACGCATGGAGGCAGAATTTTTGCTCACAGGACTCCATAGCTTAGAGGGAGCATTGGTCCCGACCTTCAAGTTGGGAAACTCGGCATTAGAAAACATACCTAAAACAGCAGCAGTAGCATACTGCCTTCTGCCTTGAAACAACTCAGTGTTACAAAAGAGAGACCTGCTTTTCAAAGTCTGCATTGTGGATGGGTGCTGCGGAGCTCCCTGATAGGGTTCAGGAGGACGGTGGTTGTGGTATGTGCAGGCAGCAGGCCAGGGTCTCTGGAATGTTGGCAAGCGGATCACCTAGGTGATCTAGTTTCAAAACAAAACAGGAGTGGTACATTCATAAGAAAGCAGCCTCGATTTTGCTTCCTGTGCATGAAGTTAGGATTTCGCATGGCACCTGTTTTGCCAAAGCAATGGGATATGGCCCTAAACTTCATACCTGCCCCCCCCCCCCAATGTTGACAGTGCAATGACGTCACTTCCGGGTGACGTCATCGCACCCCGCGTGCTTTGTGCACACGGCAGAAGATCCCAGGAAGGACCTCGGAGCCCCTCGCCAGGTGCCAGGTAGGACCTGGCAACCGTAGCATGGTGTGAGAAGCGTGACTGCCTTGCTGCTATCAAGCTGATCCAGCAACTTTGGGGGGAAAGCTCCTTAGTCAAGTTAGGCACTGGCAATCTTTATCTCCTTTGAGTGTACGATTTCCAAACCTTTTGTACTTGACACAATCAACGTTTCCTCTAAGCTGTGGAGTCCTGTGATCAAAAATTCTGCTTTGTGAGCTATTGGCATTAAAGTTGTGAGCGAGCAATTTAGCTACTGCATAAATTAGTTTGCTCTGGAGCCATCCTTCCTGAGCAAAGACAAAAATCTGTGAGCCGGAGGCTAAAAAAACTGTGAGCTAGCTCCCACTAACTCAGCTTAGAGAGAACACTGGACACAGTCCCTTGTACAAAGCTGACAAAAATGCAGGTAGGCGTGTTGGTCCACTAGAACAGTGATTCCCAACCTTTTCTGTATGGTGACCCACAAGTCCAGATTTACTTGGTATGGTGACCCATGCAAGGCCCGAGGGATTTTTTGGTACCCCAGGAAAACTATGACCCTGGTACCCAACCCGTCTAATTCAGCATTCCATTTTCTACAGTGGCTCACCAGATGTTTTGAAGAACCAATCAACATGGCACAAAGGGTGCAGCTGCCTCCTGTATGAACCCCACGCAGGTGGCATTCCAATATACACGGCCATTCATATGGAGGTTACATTCCAGCCTTTGACCACCCCCTCCTTCTCTATTACTCCTTCTAATCCCCAAGGTTTCCACTCACTTTTTAACAACCATCAGGACACATTTTACCTGATCAATACGTACGTGCAGTGAAGAAAAAATACCAACTAATGTATGACATGGAAGATACTGTTTCCAAGTTCAGATCTTGGTTTCCAAAATACAAAAGAGAACAATGGAAAGTGTAGGGGTGGCGATTGGGGGGCTGATTCGCAACCCACTCTCAGAGGCTTCATGACCCACTTTTGGGGTCCCGACCAGCATTCCCTCTAAGCTGAGTTAGTGTGAGCTAGCTCACAGTTTTTTAGCCTCTGGCTCATACATTCTTGTCTTTGCTCAGGAAGGATGGTTCCAGAGCAAACTAATTTATGCAGCAGCCAAATCCCTCGCTCACAACTTTAATGCCAGTGTCTCACAAAGCAGAATTTTTGCTCAGAGGACTCCATAGCTTAGAGAGAACATTGGTCCCGACCTTCAAGTTGGGAAACTTGGCATTAGAAAACATACCTAAAACAGCAGTAGCATACTGCCTTCTGCCTTGAAACAACTCAGTGTTACAAAAGAGAGACCTGCTTTTCAAAGTCTGCATTGTGGATTGGTGCTGCGGAGCTCCCTGATAGGGTTCAGGAGGACGGTGGTTGTGGTATGTGCAGGCAGCAGGCCAGGGTCTCTGGAATGTTGGCAAGCAGATCACCTAGGTCCTAGGTGATCTAGTTTCAAAACAAAACAGGAGTGGTACATTCATAAGAAAGCAGCCTCAATTTTGCTTCCTGTGCATGAGGTTAGGATTTTGCATGCCAAAACAATGGGATATGGCCCTAAACTTCATACCTGTTCTTTCTGTGGCTCTCACAGCAAGATTGCTTAGGATAGATAGGACACTGCAGCACCTTTTTAGTAAAGGACTAAGTAAAGTGTCTCATTGTTGGCGTTGTAATTTATGGATATGTCTCTTAAACATATGTTAGGGGCCTGTCCAGTTATTTGGCCTTTTGGAGAGGGAGTAATTACTGGTCTCAGATTTGATCTTTGAGGATGCTTATGTACTTTTAAACGATTTGCCCATCTTCTGGAGGCTGTCTGATGGTCAACAAAAATGGACCCTCCATGCCCTTAAAGGCAAAGGTAAAGGTTCCCTTGCTCGAAAGCCAGTCGAATCCGACTCTAGGGTTGCGGTGCTCATCTCCGTTTCCAAGCCGAAGAGCCAGCGCTGTCCGAAGATGTTTCCGTGGTCATGTGGCCGGCATGACTAAACACCAAGGCGCACGGAATGCTGTTCCATGCCCTTACCATTGGCTAAAAGATTTATATTACTGCACTGGAAAGATAAACGACCGTCTTCCATAATCCGACGGATCTGAATACCTTACAACCTTATTGACATTTCAGCATACAGACAGCGATTGCCTATGGACACATCTTAGGTATCTGAAAACGATTTATAGATACCTGTAGACAGGCTTGTTTCAGAGGGTAGCCCTGCTGGTCTGCAGGAGAACTGCTAGATGCTCATCCAATAGTGCCTTCGAGACAGACCAACAAGATTTTGGGGGGATAAGCTTTTGCGAGTCCACGCTCCCTTCCTCAGGTATCTCATGAAAGGAGCTCTGACTCTAGAAACTTATCCCCCAAAAAACTTGTTGGTCTCTAAGGTGCTACTGAACTCAAATCTAGCTATGCTTGGGGATTGCAATTAAAAATAAAATTTAAACAGAAATCATTGAATGTGTATAAAGGTAAAAGTTTCCCTTACTCGAAAGCCAGTCGAGTCCAACTCTAGGGTTGCAGTGCTCATCTCCGTTTCCAAGCCGAAGAGTCAGCGCTGTCCGAAGACGTTTCCATGGTCATGTGGCCAGCATGACTAAACACCAAGGCGCACGGAACGCTGTTACCTTCCCACCGAAGTGGTACCTATTTATCTACTTGCAATTTCTTGCTTCCGAACTGCTAGGTTGGCAGGAGCTGGAACTAGAGACGGGAGCTCACTCCGTCATGCGGCACCCAAGTCTCGAACTGCTGAACTACTGACCTTCCACAGGCTGCAGTTCAGCGTCTTAACCACTTGAGACACCGCAGCTCCTGGAATGTGTATAGCAATACCTTTCTGCAGAAGGCAGTACTTTATTTTCTGCTGTGAAGTGCTTTGTAATATTAAGACTGTTTCCATCTTCACGTCTCCAGCAATACACAAACCTAGCTCAAAAGGCAGTGCTAATTTCAGCCTCTCTCTTTGCCCTTCCTCCCTGTCCTTCAGGCAGGGTTTTGACCACCACCACCCCAGTCCTCTGGTTAAAGTTTGTTAGGAACCTATCCATTTTTGTATCTGTGTACAGCTTAAAAAAACAACAAAATACTACTGTGGTCAAGGGGGCAAGTGACTCTGTGATCGTTGCAAGGGCTAGCTAATTAGGATGCTACTCTGGGGAGAGAGAAAAAGAGAAACTGGTGGCTCTTGAGCTTGATTTTCTGAGGAATGTTAAACATCTGCCCCCCAAAAATGGATATTTTATGGATTCAAGTGTAGGCTCTCCACTCAAGCTTTGTATCTTTAGCTGCACACCTGTTCTATGATGTTCTTTCCAGTTATTTTGGTTGGGCATAGGCTCACTGCCTCTTGGCAAGTCAGGAACACCTTAACTGCTGTGTTTGTGTATCCCCGAGAGCTAGGTCATTCCTTGCCCTTGCTTTCCTGAAAATTGTAAAGCAAATGATAAGAACGAAAGTAGTAGAACACTGAAAGAAAAACTGAAATGGGGGAGAAGGGAGAGATTGGGGGAATGGGTAAACTAGGGTGATAATGGGGTGGCCATCCCCCCAATGGGGGCAGGGGTTCCCCTGATTTCGGGGGGGGCCAATACGCCCACCGGCCAGCTGGCCAGTGGGGGAAACCCCACCCCCTCCAGGAAAAGATAGGGACCTGGCAACCCTAGAAGATAGGTTGCCCCTCCCCTCCCCAAACCCCACCCTTTTCAGGCTCCACCCCCAAAATCTCCGGGTATTGTCCAACCCGGAGCTGGCAACCCTAGTTATTGGTAACTTGCAACAAATTCCTCCTACACGTGAAGGGCATAAACTCCATCATTTTTATCTCCATTTGTAGTATCACATCTGCAAGCTGTCGTTATCAGGGTCGCAGGATTTCACACCTGAAGCCGAAACCGATGAAGTGGAGGCTGCTCTTGTGAATCTGGAAGTAGCTCTAGAAGGTGGAAAATCGGACAGTATTTTGGTATGTCACACGTTTGCATCTGTGGGTCAAAACCAAGACAAGGGTTGGCATGGAAGAGAGAATTTTTTGCTTTTTTCCAGTGCTCTCAAACAATATCTGACAGGGAAAACACACCCTGAGAGTTTCATAATCACATCTCACCTCCCTTCTAGGCACAGGTATCTTGTTGAAATAATAGGTTTGGATCCAGCCAAGTGTTTCTGTGTATGGCATGATTTCCACCCACACACATGAATTTCTCGCCCTCCCCTCTGCTGTTGCAGCCTAAAACGTCATACTTCCACAGCAGCAGGAAAGGGGGAAAAGTTGTGCTCTACGGCCAGAAATCTTTCCATCCATAGATATGCTCCCGTCACTCCAAGCAAATAATTTATTTTTTATGTCTGCCCTGCCTTTCTCCACAGTGGGGACCCAAATCCGCTTCCATCATTCTCCTCGCCTCTGTTTTTGTCCTGACAACAGCCCTGTGGAGTAGGTTCAGCTGAGAGTGTGTGACTGGCCGAAGGTCACCAGTGGCAGAGTAGGGATTCGAACCTGGAGTCTCTCAGATCCTAGGCCACATTCTAACCACTACACCACACTGCCTCTTGTCCTAACACTGTGTTGATTGTGCCCTTTACTCAACTGTGATTTCTAGAAAGACAAAATTTGCATATATTCCTGCTACTCCAGATAGGTAGGTAAATAGGTATGTAGGTATCTTTTTGATATTTCACCACTCCCAGTTTTAAGCAGCCCACTGTCTGGGAACCCGAGTTAATTTCCACAGCCTGTTGTTGAACTGGGATTAAAGTAATGTTATGGGGCAGGCAGCAAAAGACAGGAAGCGTACTGTGGACTGATGAAAATGATGTATGTGATTTATATCTGATAATTACATTGTGCTAAAATATTCCTTGGCTCTTCCTAGGAGGACATCACAGACATACCAAGACTTGCAGACAACCTCAAGTTATTTAGGTAAGTAAAAACAAAATTAAGCGATGGGCGAAGAAGTATAGTAAAGATGTCTGTAGCTATTTAGTACTCAGAATACAGCTGATCTTCTTGGTGATTTGTGTGTAAAAATAACCATCAAATTCCCTTTGAAGCCAAACTAGTTTCTAAGGGGAAGGTCACAACCCATTACTAATCCCAAACACTTAGCAGAGTTCAAAGCTTTCAGGTTCTTTTATCTTTACATGCTATAGAATTGGTGATGAATGGATGAAACAGCTAGCAACTTACCACTGTAAATAAAGCCACTGTATAAGGGAGGCTTATCTGAACCATTAGAAAGCTCTGATTATCAACACACGCAATGGGTAATAATATAAATAAATAAATCTTTCAATTTATTAATTGCTCAATCCTGCAGAGCTTGCTGACTCTGATTTACAGTTACTCCATTACACACGGTACTAACAATGATTCAAGGGGTAAGGGAGGACAACATATAATCTTTAAATCATTCACAGCCAACGGGGAGTTTTTGTTCAGCTGTAAGGTCAGACATGTTTCAACGGCATTTTTCCCTCAGCATAGCTTGATGTCTTCAGCTTTCTCTGGACTGCTTCAAGTTGCAGCGCAGCACTGCCACCGCCTGGCCGGACGGCCCATTACAGGCTTCCTTGATGCCAAAGAGTTCTTTCTAGGCTTTTCGGTCTTACGCGCTGGACATTCCATTCGTCGGCTAACACCTCCCCCACTGGGGGGGTTTAGTGTGCCCACCCTCTCTAAGGAGTGGTACCCACTCCTTACTGATTGGTGATAGTCAACACACTGTCTGCCACCTACCTATAATTTGTACTCCTTTAATAATTACATATACAATTATGTATACAGAGATTGCAGGTAGCCATGTTGGTATGTTAGAAAAACAAACAGCTTTATTTGCTTGATTAATAGCCTGTTTTTCTGGCTGGCAGTGTAAGACAATGCACTCAAATAGCATGAGACATCAAAAAAACAATGCGATAGGACTAAGATCACAAAAATTAAAAGCACTGCACAAAAAAGTATCAGAAATTATTATCTCATAAACTGTGCAAAAATAAATTAGAAAACAATGCCATAAAAGCAAGATAATACATACAAGAAACACTGGAGCAGAGCACAGTCCTGTTCCCTTTACAAAACAGCCCTCAATTCCATACTACACCCTTCAAAGGAATGCTACTGTAAACAGCAATACTAGCTCAGCACACTCTTATTAGGTTCAGTTACAACTGAGGTCCCCGATGTGGGCACGTAGGTACCCATGGTGCCTCCCAACAGAGAGCCAGTTTGGTGTAGTGGTTAGGAGCACAGACTCTAATCTGGGAGAACTGGGTTTGATTCCCCATTCCTCCACGTGCAGCTGCTGGTGTGACTTTGGGTCAGTCACAAGTTCCTTCAGAGCTGTTCTCTCAAGGGCAGTTCCCAAAAAAGCTCTTTCAGCCCCACCTACCTCACAGGTGCCTGTTGTGGGGGCAGGAAGGGAAAGGAGATTGTAAGCCGCTCTGAGACTCCTTTGGGTAGTGAAGGGTGGGAAGGAGATTGTAAGCCGCTCTGAGACTCCTGTGGGTAGTGAAGGGTGGGGTATAAATCCAATCTCCTCCTCCTCCCCCTCCTCCTGGTGCCCACCGAAAATTTTTAGAAAGTGGATAGGTCCAGGTGGGGCATTTGCTGAGTAAAGCTGCCGATTGCCACTGGAGTTTTGATTGGTTGTGCAGATTTTTAAAAAATGTTGCTTTGGTAGCAACTACCACCTTAGCCCAAGGATCTTCACCGTGGGACTGAAATAGACTACACTATTAACCTTGATAGAAGTGATGTAGGCAGCAACCTGTGAAAAGCCATGTCAAGATACACCAGGCATGGGCTGAGGACAATGCTCTCGACATCACAGTGCTGTAACAGCAGCATCACAAATGCATCGTGCACACGCCCACTTTGCCAGCGTCCCACTGTTCTTGTTTGATGCCCAGGGGCCTAACTGGGAGCAGGGGAAACTGAGATCTGGACATGCATCAAGGAGACTTCAGGTCAATCACAAGAACTGCCTCTGTGGCCCAGCAGATAAGCCTGCTTTTAATCAGCCCTGTGGAGCCTATCATTGGCCCAAGAAAGATATCTGTATGAAGACAGAGGGTAGTGCTAGGGGAGAGGGTTTCACCACAATACCCATTGGTATGTGGTATCCCTCAAGGGGCAGTCCTCTCCCCAGTGTTGTTTAACATCTTTATGCGCCCCCGGGTGCGGAGTTTTGGGCTTGGGTGTCACCAGTATGCTGATGATGTCCAGCTCTGTCTGTTGATGAGTGGCCAGCCAGAGGCCATCCCAGAAAATCTGGCACTGGGTTTGGAGGCTGTGGTTGGTTGGCGAAAGCAGAGCAGGCTGAAATTAAATCCATCAAAGATGGAGGTCCTTAATATGCGAGAGAAACCTCTGAAAGATTGGCAAAAATGCATAAGTACATTTATTTGGAATAGCACAAAGCCAAAAATTGGATTCAAAGTAACACAAGATGGGGGAAAAGAGGAGGTCTAGCGGTACCCAATATTAAGCTTATATTATCAAGCAGCTGGCCTGGATTAAAAATCCAAATGACAGATTAAAAATCCAAATGACAGATCAATGAGATTGGAAACTGCGGACTTGACTGAAGGGTTGCATAATCATCTTTGGGTAAAGAAAAAACCCCGAACCCAATACAAAAATCATTTAATTAGAGATAGCTTGCTCAAAATCTGGGACTTTTTAAGAATGAGAATTAGTCCACCGACCTCACCAGTAATGTCACCAATAGATGCATTTTATGATAAATATGTGAAGAAAATTTATAACTTTATAACTTACCATGATAAACCCACAAGGAGAAATTAAACTGTTGCAAACAGTTAAGGAAGAAGGAAAGAAAATGCTATGGCTGGTATATCTCCAACTAACTTCCAGACTTAAAGAAGCCGCTCACGCTTATACAGGTCAAATAAGAGACTTAACTGACTTTGAAAAGATAACCACCAATGGAAAGACCATTTATTAGGACAAATCTACAAGCTTTTACTTCAATATGATACAGAAACAGAACAAGTTAAAATGTGTATGCTGAAATGGATTCAGATATTTGGAGAACAGATAATGTTTCAACAATGGGAAAATTTATGGATGAAAGATATAAAATCCACCACGAGTCAAGCATTAAGAGAAAATTGGTATAAGATGTCTTACCAATGGTACATTACCCGAAAGATATTGTAAATATGGACAAGAAGTATATAAGGATGTGCTGAAACTGCAAAGACGGTACTTTTTACCACACGTGGTAAACTTGCAAAAAGAACAAAAAAAATGAGAAAGACATACATACTGAGATTTCAGAAAATTTTAAAAATTGACTTTGCTGTGAAACTAGAAACTATATTGTTGGGAATTTTGCCAGACAATACCGAAAGAACATTACATGAACTGTTTAGATATATGCTAACTGCAGCCAGAATAGTAGTGGCAATTAAATGGAAAGCAGGGGAATTTCCTAATAGTGAAAACTGGACAGATAAAATGGCAGAATATGCTGTAACTGCAGCCAGAGTAGTAGTGGCAATTAAATGGAAAGCAGAGGAATTTCCTAATAGTGAAAATTGGACAGATAAAATGGCAGAATATGCTGTAATGACCAAACAAATTATGTAAACAAAAGACCAATCAAAGAATTTGAAAGGAAATGGGAAACTTATTACGCCTATTACAGATAAAGATGAAAACTAAGTAATACAGATTACTTTTATTGGTTCTGAGCCATATGAAGTCATTGAAATACTGTTTTTCTTTAGATTTTGATATAGTTTCAGTTTAGAGATATATCTATTAGCTAATTGGTTAATATAAGCAATACGATTAGTATAATTATAAGTATTTTATGATATAATACCTTACATATAATCAGTTTAAAATGTAGGTTTACTTTTTTGAAATATCTTTAAAATGCATAGCTTGCTTTTTTTTACTATAGTCTGATTATAGCAATTATAGTATATAAGATGTTAATGTTTTAAAATTATTCAAGAATTTATATATTGTTATGATAATTCCAAATATTCAATATCTGATCGTTAATGTTAAATACTTTCCTGATTTTAAGCCAATGAGTTCATATAGTTTATTAAATATTTATCGATCCAATGTCAAGTTTTCATCAAGATTGAGAGAGAAAATAATCTTGAATATTATGAATATGTATTTAAAACGTTATATATTTATCATAGTCTGGATAGTCCTTGTAATACTTGTTCTAATTTTTTTTCTAAACTTTTGCCCCCTTTCCCTTTTTTCATTCTGTATCACTGTGATGGATGGATGGATGGATGGATGGATGGATGGATGTCCTGTGGCTAAATCAGGGGGATGCCAGGATGGGTTGCCAACTCCCAACTCTTGACAGTGTGCCATTAACATCAGGACCAACCGTCAAGAGTTTGGGGGTGATCCTGGATGCCTCCCTTTCAATGGAGATCCAGGTCACAAAGATGGTTAAGTTGACGTTTTACCATCTTTGCCAGGTTAAACAGTTGGCTCCATACCTGACGCTCTCTGGCCTAGCCACGGTGATTCATGGAATGGTCACCTCCAGATTGGATTACTGTAACCCTTGAGGTTGACCCAGAAAATGCAACTGGTCCAGAACTCAGCTGTGAAGGTTCCGACAGGAGCGTCCTTTAGAGCACATATCCAGCCAGTGCTCTACCAGATGCACTGGCTCCAGATTGAAGACTGGGTCAAGTTCAGGATTTTGGTGTTGACCTTTAAAGCCCTAAACTGTCAGGGACCAGCATATCTTCGGGACCACCTTTCCTGGTATTTCCCCCGAAGAGTGTTACACTCGAGTGATCAAAATTTGCTGGTGGTCCGCAGCCCAAAGAGCATCCAGCTGTCCTCAACCAGAGTCAGGGCCTTTTTTGGCCCTGGCTCCAACCTGGTGGAACACTCTTCCAGGAGAGATCAGCGCCCTGCATAGGGCTTGCAAAACAGAGTTGTCCTGCCGGGTTTATGGTTGAGGGCAACAACGCGTTCCTTTCTGATATGATAGGTATCATATAGGATTGGCCTCCCCCTTCTTCTCTCTCCCCCCTCACTACCCCCCTTTCCTTCTTACCATATGGTTATATATGGCTCCTCTGTATGAGTTTACACCATCTTTTAGCCATATAGTAGTTGTATTTTATTGATTTTATTGTATTTATTGTAATTATTTAACTGTTAGTATTATTTACTGTAATTTATTGTAATGTTTTAGATTGTATGATTCCTAAATTGTTGTTACCTGCTCTGAGCCGGTTTCAGGGAGTGCGGGTTATAAATCGAATGAAATAAATAAAACAAAGAAGGTATAAGATAACTCATCTGCTTTGAGACTATTTGGGGACTTTGTTTGCTTCTCTCAGGAAGGCAAGTAAAACTAACCTTCACAGATCTGCTCAAATCAAGAAGCGAAGGGCACTCAAGGAAACGTCTCTGACAGGCAGGAGAATTGTATTTATTTTATTTTTATCTGCCTTGTTTATAGTCCGCCTTTCTCACGGGGACTCCAGGCGTATTACGCAGAGTGAGCCAGCACAGTCAACACAGTGGGACATTCCATAACCCGTGCCTTAGGACTTCAGAAATTACATAAATAGGGATCTTCTGTACAATAAGCTGAACCCAGCTGTGTTGACCACAGTCCTCAATCATTTATCCAAGGAAGTTTGTGAAACCATTTTGTACCAGTGCAACCCCAGGGCTATTTTTGGGCAGGAACGCACAAGAACGGGGTTCCGGCTGGCTCCCAAGTTGGCCATGCCCAGCAGGAACTCATTAGCATAATAGGCCACACCCAACAGAAGGAACCCATTAGGATTGGCTACAGTAGGGGTGTGTGGCCTAACATGCAAAGGAGTCCCTGCTACAAAAAAAGCCCTGGGTTTTGACAGCAAACAAGGTAAACAGAATAAGAAGCAAAAGGTGGGTGTGGCTGGATGACCACACTTCTGGTAACATGGGGGTGTGGCCTAATGTGCTAATGAGCTGTGCTGTCGTGGGTGTGGCCTAATATGCTAATGAGTTCCTGCTGTTTGATATGGCCTATTATGCTAATGAGCTCCTGCTGGGCTTTTTCTACCAAAAAAAGCCCTGTACAACCCTATTACCTGCTCAGGAAAGCCCCTCTTGAATTGGTCACTTTTGCATAGTTTGCAGAAGGCTGGGAGAGAGAGAGCTTTCCTGCCCTCCTGGGGCAGGCCATTGTTCCGCAAGGCAGGAGCCGCAAGGGGGAAAAAACATGTGTACCGGCAGTTGCGGATTGTGCCCATTTGCAGGTTTGCCGTGCTGACTTGAGCAAAGTTTAACTAATTAGAGCTCATACAGTTATCATTTACTTGCAGATCCAAAAAGCTAACACTGAAAGCCTTCAAGGAATATTGGTTTGTCTTCAAGGACACGTCAGTATCTTACTTCAAAAATAAACAAGCTGAACACGGGGAGCCAATTGAGAAACTGAACCTAAGAGGTAAGGGGGTGACTTTTCATTTTTCATGTATAAAGTCAGGCTCCGTTTTGTTGCCTGACAGATGGGGATCCCTAGCATGGTGCACTTTGTGGACTTCTGCTTTTGGCATAAACATGACCACCAGGCATGGTTCGCCTGTGCCACTATGTGAATAAACCCAGGGGACCTTTGGACTCGCAAGCTCCCACTCTCTCTCGTCATCTCTCCTTGCATGTAGCAAGATAATTAGCTGTTTCTGGATTTGCAGCAAATCAACAGTTGGCTTGTGCTTTCCTTGCAAACCAAATAATATAGTTGATGATGGCTGGCAGAAAAAGCGCAAACCATAGTTTGCCAACTCAGATGTAAAGGAAAACTGTTGTTTGCTGCAAAATCAAACATGGCTAATCAGATCAAAATATGTGAGACGTGGGAGGGTGCAAGCCTGTAGAGCCCCTCCCCAAGCTTATTTAAACCACTGTTTGTTGATACATCTGAACCATGCTGATGCAGTTCTACTATTGCACAATGTTTCGATTGAGTCTGTTGTTTTGTATGTCCTTGTTAATGTTTGAAGGAGTAAGTAAAGAATGGTGATATTACAACTATGCTTTGGAACCTATACCAGCATGTTTTTCTTGCACGAGCATGTCACTGTGGCATGAGGCAGTTTCTCATGGTGGAAGTATTGACACAAAATTCCCCTCCATCAATGCAAGAGCATCTTGCATGTTTGGAAAGCACCAACTCCTGGAGAAATGTGCCAGAAGAAAACATTGGCACAAGTGGATTGGCAGTGTAGGGTCCAAGCCAATGCAGTATGCTTATAATAAGAATAATTCGCTATGGCCAAGTTTCTATAGTCAGGCAAGAGAATGGATGATGGGACTGGTAATCCATGTGGTCGTGAGATTCTAGAGGATTCCCTGTGTTCTACAGTCTAATGGCCTGTGCTGTATAGCAGTTAGAGTGTTTGACTAGGATTCAGGAGACCTGGGTTAAAGTCTCCACTTGCCATGGAAGCTGGCTGGATGACCTTGGCCAGTCAACCTACTTCAAGTGTTGGTTGTGAGGATAACATGGAGGAAAGGAGAATGATGTAAACCGCTTTCCCCATTGGAAAAAGGGCATATATTATTGTTGTTGTTGTTGTTGTTAATAATAATAATAATAACAATAACAACAGTGATAGCAACACTTTGGGCAACAAAGCGCTTCAGCATAGCATTGGATTTCATACACTGCTATATTTACTTTATAGAGGGACTTTGACAAATTAATTATTTCAGAATTATAGGTATGGGATGGAATTTCTTTCCTGCCCTTCTATTGATACTATGGTTTGCACTTAAAAAAATTGTCCTGTTCTCCTTCTAGATGCTGGTCTTTTCTTTCTTATCCTCTTCTGTTTTAAAGTTCTGTTTGATTATCTATTAAGCTTTCTGAGACTTCAGGTTCTCTCTTGTCGCTCGTGCTTGAAAAGTTTTTGCGTCTGTTTATTTTTGGCCAGGAATGTAGGTAAAGTACAACCTCACCTATGACTTCTCGTGTGTCTGTCATGCAGGGTGTGAAACTGTGCCAGATGTAAGTGTATCAGGGAAAAAATATGGAATTAAGTTGCTCATCCCTGTTGCTGATGGAATGAATGAAGTACACTTGAGATGTGACAACGTGAGTAGCAAAATAGCCACCCTATCCTATAGGAGGGCTTAATGTCTGGGGATCTGTTGTAATCAGGGTACTAGGGGGGCTCTCTGTAGGCTACCACCTCTCTGGTACGGGTCTCCTCACTTTGGGCGAGGCTGGGCTTGGCAGTCCCCAGGTGGGGGCAGGGGATCCCTTGCTTATGTGGGCTCTGTTGGCCAGCAGGGGAACCCCACCCCTAAAAAGATGTCCCCATGTGATGTTGCCAGTGCCACTTCTGGAAGTGACGTCATCACATCAGGGGCGACGCTCTACTTTTTGGGCAAAACTCTATGGCTTGTAGCTGTTTTTACCATAGAGTTTTGCCAAAAAAGTGGAGTGTCATCCTGACATCCCCAACATGACGACGTCACTTCGGGAAGAGACGTCATTATGCCGGCAGCATCCCCGCCCACCCCCAGAATGCCCCCCAAATAGGGTTGCCAAGTGCGTTTTTCTTGGCGGCGGGGGGCTCCTGGACAGCACCGCCCCCAGCGTGCCCGGCGTCAGCACGTCACATCCGGCTGACGTGCACGCCGGGGTGGGGTTTCCCCCGGGGTCCGATTCCGCGGCGGCGGAAATCGGGCCTCCAAAGCGGGGGGAAATCCGCCCCCCAGGGGGACTTGGCAGCCCTACCCCCAAATCCCCCCCGCTGGCAGGAGGAAGGCACCTGGCAACCCTCGGTGAGGCCTTTTATCCCTTCTTCCCAGGCACCACCCCCTACTCCTCAGTGGTGCAATTTTTTTCCTCCAAATCCCCGGTTAACCAATCACAGGGTCTGAAGGGGTCCTGGGAAATGC